TAGATAGATAGATAGATAGATAGATAGATAGATAGATAGATAGATAGATAGATAGATAGATAGAAATGAAAGAAGGAAGGAAGGAAGGATGAAAGCCACTTAAAGCCAACTGGGGCGACTAAATTTTTATCCAACAATTATTGCTAGTCTCCAAAACTACTTACGTCGAAAATAAGTAATGCCGTCAATTTGAATAAAAATCATATTTGACCAATCGATTTGTCTTGTATATGGAATTTACTCTGTGAAACTCTGGAACATGTGGTTGTGTAGTGGAGTGATTGTGCCGCAACGCTACTCAACACTTGGTATCAGATCACCTTCGTGATGCTGACGACATCAGTTGAGGTAGTCTTTCCTGGATGGTACAGCATGTGGGCGACAGGGTTAAGTGAAAATCAACGAAATCGGGATGCCTACTCATCTTTTAGACGGAAAAGTAGATCGTCACTCTTTAGCTCATCCTAAGCAGCCTATCATTTATTCAACAATTATATTTTTCGCATTTAAGTAGAGTTTCGAGACTACCAGTAAATGAGTAATATGAGAAGTATTCACCAAATTTCGTTTAAGGTAATGAAGAACCGGTAGTAGAATTATCCCACAATGATATGATGAGAACAATACTTATAGTTAGGCTTGGAAACTAATCATATAAGGGATATGTAAAAACGCATGTTTGACATATGGAAAATCATACTAACTATGCATACAATTGTGGGAAAATTCAACAATCTGTCATTCATCACCTACTGCAGCCTCGCTTGGTACAAGACACATTTTTGAGCGACCTCTTAAACTATGGTTTCTTGCTCTGGTGCTGTCGAATTGTGTTTCCGGTGAGGCCGACGTTTCCTTTAAAATGTAAACTCGAGTCGTACAACGAATCTGCTTCCCAACATATTTGTGGGGTGTGGATTTTGTGCCAACATGGCATCCTTTAAGTTGTGCATGAGACGAAATTAAAAAAATATATACTCGGTGGCATCAGAAGAAAAATGAAATAAAGACAATAAAGTGTTACAATCTTTGCCATATGCCATATCTTTGACATTTTGTTGTTGAGGCCCATCTGCCGATGACTTATTTCTATCCGTTAGCCTCCACTTTCACCTCGGCCCAAGTTGAGGTGCAGTCAAGGCATTATTTTGCTTATCATGGCATTGGTACAAGTCCTGCTCGCCACCGCGTTTCGAGTCGGACTGGCTACCAGAATCCGCCAAAGCTGCATGTACATACGCTTCCTCGAGCGTTTCACTCCATCAATTAGACACTTGGCCGTTTGGGAGGTGGTTGAACTTTGTTCGGCACAACGCACTTTCACATCTCTTTTCACTCTTTCACTCGATGTGAAGTTGTCTGGTTGAGAGCACACTTTGCACCAACCTATAAAACGGTACATTTTTAGACAGAATCTGTCTTATCCGATGTGTAGCTTGTTGCAATCGATAAGTGTGTGCACTTTTTCCTGAGTCAACTGATATACTCGCTTCACCATGGCGACCGGAGAAGTCCGGGCAAAGTGGTAGACCGAATGCACGAGCAGAGCCTTCCAGCCTGTTCGTGTGTTCTTGGAATGGGTCTTTGCAGACGATCGCGTGGCATAAAACGGCAAAGTGTGGTGGATTCTGCGACTTTTGTAGGATCCTTTGATGATTTAATGGCCTCAGCGAAACGTTCTCGTGCGACTGCCTCGACGTGAAGAGGAGGGAAGCACTGCACTGATCTGTTCACCAAAAGAAGGAGCTTGCTGCAATTCAGCTCATTTCGAGGCTGAAGGAAGTCAGAAAGTCTTAATTTCAAGTTCACAAACTCGGTCAAATAATAGAATTGCGTTGTGAGATGGTCGTGAAAACACACATTCTGAC